TTGAGGCATTGAAACATTTTTTCGTTGTTGCTGAAGTATATCCGAAAGATGTCCCTGAGAATAGAAGTTTTGAAATGACTAAATGCGACCTATTAATATGACGTTACATAGAACTACACGTGTGTACGGAAGGAATACCTAAAAAAGGAAGATATTTTAGTGACGTGAGAGGAACAGCCGAACGTTGGCAGTCGCTGTAAGTCTCACACGAGCGTCGTTCTCAAGTTATTGCCCAAGTTTCGACCCCTCTGTATTTTGTTTAAATGAGCTATAACATATTTCTATACATTACTAAATACTACCCAGGATCACTCCCTAACGTTAATAACTGATTGAACTTGGCTTTGCTCTTTTTTTTAGGCAATGGTAGTCGCCGAAAAAATTTGAAAAATATGAGCATCGTTCATCCCCTCAACTCGGAGCCAGAAGCGGCCACGTGGCCTGGTGCCTATCTTATGCCGCCAACGTTAATCGTACCCCCGCGCTGGAGTTTTAAAGGAAGAAAACGCGTGCTGGAGCTCCAGGCATTGTTAGAGTTCGACTATTCTCATCACCACAGAGGTTGGACACGAGCCACTACCCAAGTGTCCGCCGAGGCATTGATTGTTACGAGCCGATGTACGGTGCTCACACAGTTCTCCTGCCCAATCCATGAGTCGCGCTCGACTGTCAACAGGCGGGTGGTTGGAGTCCCACAATTACGACATCCATCTTTGAGAAGGCAAGAATAAAAGAAATAGTCTCGTTCAATCCTCGCAATTTCACCGCGACAAAGAAGCTTCTGAATCAGTGGCGCCCTGTGCGAGTACACTTGGACCAGGGGACCAGTACGCCTCGGGAAAGTCATGCACATTATACCCGATATCGTTTCATGACCCCTTTAAACTTCACGGGATGCAAAATAAAAGCAATGAAAGGTTGCGGTTAACAAGTGTCAAATAAAATTGTCGAATTAACAGACACAAACGAAGGAGGCAATTCCTCAGGAATACTTTCAGCCTTTCCACTCTGGTGAAGAAGGAAGGCCAGAAATGCTGTACTATGGTGGGAATGAAGTAATGGCCGGCCGGAAGTCGGCAAGCCAGACTGGAAAGGCTTGGAGGGGTTGCCGCCATTTATGAGCGACGGTGGCAACCAAACAACTGGCAAGCCGGCTGTCTGGTTGCCGTCACCATTTATAAATGGCGGTAACGCATGACTAGCCCTTAACAGCACCGCTGTATAAAGAAGCGCGTCTGTGTGTGGGGCCTAGGGGGGGGGGGGGGGGGGGGGGAGTTTTAGAAACATACTGTGTTGTAAAGGTTCCTCTTCCCTGCATCTTTGGCGCAGACCAAAAAGTGTGACCCCGGAAACTACTTTGATTGGAAAAGCGCTCTTGCCAAAAAGCACGTTTTTGTCGTGCCAGACGCTGGCGCCGTTCCTCACGACGATGCACTAAGAATAATAATACTAGCCTTTCAAATACTTCGCTTTCACTGAGCTTGCACCTCCTGCAGCGTGCCTTTTGCACCGTCGAATTCAACTTTCTCAGCAAGAAGGAATCAGAATGACCACCAGCCTATAGTGTGATAACGTAACGTGCATACCATGCTAAATAGCTTTCTGGTGAAATATGATGTTCGCAACACTAGCCATAGATGTCCTAATAGTAAATTTGTGAAGTATTTATAGCAGTCTCGTGATGAGTTATGGCAGCCTAGAGAAATGTTAGAACGCATGACTATTCTAGCATAGTGCTGTAAAGTGAGGGCCCAAAACAAGTGCAGGTAAGACCGAATATAACATTTGCCTCCCGAGGCAGTATTTCGGAAGTTTTGAGCTCATGCAAGCTGATGAAATGTAATATACTAAGATTTCAAGAATCTTTGTTTGTCCTTCGCGCTATTTATGTAAAATCATGAATATCATTGCGTGCATCTTTACGCATCTCTTTTCGCTGCAAGGCGTTCTGGAAGGGATTATTTGGAAAACATAACATTAATTATCTCTCTCTTTTTGAACATTTCGTGTATTTGATTTCCAATTCATCATGCGAGCATAGAATCCTTTTTAGCGTACCCTGCAACCCGATGTTTCACACTGCCAATCAGCAAACAGAAAAACACTTTTACGTAGACTCCACAGCCCGCGTAGTTTCGAGTATCCTCCTTCCGCGTCGGTCTCAAGCGGTTATGTGAACTTTATAAAGTAAAATTTTTTTATCAATATGAAATATATTTAATTACTGATTGAATCTTTGAGAACATAAATAGAGGGCCGACCACTCTAAAGCAATGCCCCCCAAATTATTTGAAAGCGGTTCTGCCAATCTTTTCCGGCGTTTTTATTGTCAACAGGCACGTTGTAAGTGATATGGGACGGCCTTACATACATTTCTGATTTTGAAGCTAATTTAAATAACTATGTGTTCTTCGCATATATAACTTCTCAAACATATAGAAGTCTGTTATCGCCTTTTTTATCTGGTGAACATTAGTTTTATGTGTCTGTGGGCTGGACGAAAAGAAAGTAAGCAGGGGCGCGCGGTGGAACTATGATGATTACGCACGCAAACCGTCAGACAGTGTCCAATTAAGTAGCTGCCTTGTCGAGTAGAACGTGAAATACTACTTCGTTTTACTAAACAAAAAAGAATTTTGAAGGGCGCTTAAGCTTCACCTTTAAAAGTGGAACGCGATCGCGTCAACGGGCCTCGTTTGCATCGCATTCTCATTTGCCGCGCAAGCGTGCCTCGCGTGGCCTAGTGAAAAGCATCTGACTCGCAACGAAAGGGTTGTGGGTTCGAATCCTGCCTAAAATTTTTATTTTTTCTTTAAGGCAAAGGAATTACTTTCAAAAGTGATATCATTTGAAACATACGGTGACCTTTATTTCGCATTACATATCATGTTTTAATCACCCTCATTCCACGCGTGATGTCACGTTTCACATAAGCATTGTGGGTTGTTTGAAATTCTTACGCTAGGGTATGTAGCTCTGACGTCATGAACCTATCGGCCCATCAGGATTTTCCAGTCACGCCACCGACATCGGTTTTTCTGCGTCATAAGCTCGTTAACGCTATCGTGTTAAAATCATCAATTAGCAAGGGTGATGCTCATATATACCTCAACAGCTCAACAAACCTCAACAGCCAGGCTATGCCAGCTTATTCTGTATAAGAAAATGTTCACTTGGGCAAGCGCTATTTTGGGCCAGATTCGACCTGAGTGCGAAGGTGCGTATATATTAGAGTGAACAATTGCAATTACTCCTTGCTCCATGACTAGTCGCATGCGTGCGGCGCTGAGTGTAAACAATGTTTAGTTAGAACAAGAGGCATTTGGATTGCCGCTCGGTGTTTCTATAAAAGATAGACTGAAAGGAGTTATCCTAAAACTTTGTTACATTTCGAAAATTTCATTGCTTTTAGCTCAGTTGGGTCGTCATCATATATATATATATATATATATATATATATATATTGTGAAGTGTATTTCGTAAACCTTATTTCATGATATATGGCCACGAGGTGCATGCTCATTTCATATTTTTATGTGATGTAATTAATTCCTTAGTTCAATGACACGATTTCACTTTTAATACTGACAAAGTTGTACCAATCACGGGTATTTTAGACGACCTACCACACTTCGCGACAACATTTTATACCGTGTAGATAGGTCAGCTTGAACTTTAGAATTTTACTTTAATACGAAGAAAGGACAAGAAAATACAGTATAGTTCTAAATTAGAAGCTGATCTATTTACAGGTACGTACCAACAAGCTCAACTCTTTACTCTTGTACTTAAACATTTTGATTCAGGCAAAATATATTTTACTCGTAAACAAATAGATATTGAGTCGTATGAACACGACGTTATGTATGTTAAAGTAGATTTTCTTCTACTCTTGCGTCAAAATTAAATAACTGAATTTAATATTTTTGGTACCTAAGAACAAAAGTAAATTGCACGGACGATCGAAGAAACTATATAGTTAATCGTTTCACAACGGAAATAGTGTATATTGCCAAAACAACGCGGAAAATATATTCTCAATTTAGCGGTTTAAACCGGTTCGAACCGGTTTGAACCGTTATTTTTGGCTCCCCGGAACTGAACCGGAACCGAACCGAAAGCCGTGAACCCGAACCGGAACCGAACCGATAAAAATTTCGGTTCGACACCCTGGCCAAAGCACACAACTCAGCTGCGCCGCTACGCACTCTTGGCATGACGAAGCTGAGCCCAAGAATCAGCTTATTTCTGCAATATTTCCTTCAAACAGCACAGCACTTCATTCGCCGGCAAGTGTCACACTTCCCTGCTTGTACGAGGGAGGTGAGGCGGTGGTTTTACTCTTTGGCCACGAGAAGCAGAACCACTGGCGTAGATGTGCATTCCGATAGGAAACTGACTTCAAAAACATGTTCAAAATTAGGATTTCTTTTGGAACGCCGTAAAATGCTGCACGCGTCTTATATCTTTGTCAAATGGGCCGGGTTAGTGGTTTAGGATGATGCCCAGAAAGTTTCTACTGTCGATACCGGTTATAACAAAGTCAGTTATAGCAAAATAGTGGCTACAGCGAAGCAACCACGATTTCCCATTCCCATTTGCACTTCGTTATAACCGAAGTCGGTTATAACGAAATAGCGGATACAGCGAAGTGATTTTCGATTCCCTTTGACTTTGCTATAACCGGTTTCGACAGTAATAGAAACCATTTCTTCAGATTTAACAATTAAAAGGTTAATTGAGCAAACATAATTAAACTAATTATACCAACTATCATTCATTTTTGCAAATAGGCCCTTTGGCAGAGACCAATTCGATAATAACTTTTTTCCTGTGCAATGCACACTTTTCGCAGGAACGATTCGGCCCATGTTCCAAAAATGTCCAGCATATAAAAACCGCAATGAGTCTGCTTGCTTTAGCCAGCGCAAACGATCTTCAGAACAATTACTACTGAGTCAAAATCACCTTCAGGACAACTGCTACCGAGTCAAAATCACCTGATAATCGCTGTCATTTTTGTCCAATTCTGTCAGCTCACAATGTAGTGATGCATAGAACCGATCCAGAGGGTGAATATTCTTGACCGAAAGCTCGTTTTGATGCAGACGCACAGCTACTTCAATGTCTTCTAATGCCTGCAAGGAATTTGCAAATGTTAGGATACAGTAAGCATCGTTGAAGCTAAAACTAGAAGATTGAAATGCAGCCAAGTGCATTTTTTTAAAACCACCCCTTTCATACCCCACTATACAAGATAGTGAGGTGTCCTGGTAGGCAGAGGCAGACTTAGCCTTTTGCCACCCTAAGCAGCCTTTCATAGTGCTGCCCCCCCCCCTTCCCCAACTCCCACTCCCTATGGTCAGTGACCACAGGGAGCGAGGGTTGGAAAGGGGGAGAGGGCTATAAAGAATTAGCTAAGTTTGGAGTTAAAATTTTCAAAAGTAGCCAGATCTGGAGCTAGAATTCCCAAAGTAGCAAAATTCGGAGCTAGACATAAAAAAAGAGCCAATTAATTTGGTGGCGGCCACAAATTGGCCACCCCCGAAATTCTGCCGCACTAGGCAGCTCCCTACTCAGCCTATTGGCAAGCCTGCCCATGCTGGTAGGTATGAGCACTAAGTTCAGAAAAGTACCTTGGTAGAGCAAACACCTTGTACAACGAAAACCACTCAATTCTATGTGCATGCATTTGTGCCTGTGCCTTTCAAGTGCTACACAAAACTTGTGTAAGTGGTGCATCACTTATTCCACCCACACAAATGAGAAGACCAGCACACATAACCAAACTTTTGACTGCAACATGCCCTGGCATTGACAATTAAAGCAACCACAATGCTGAAAACACAAGTCTGACATGTTGAAAACAGATGGTTCCATATTTTTAATAGCCTCGACAATAAAGTCATAATCATTTCATTACACACTTACTGTTCAGCCCACATCTCCTTTGACCATAGAGTTTACAAACAAACATTAGATGGCAAAAGCCCAGTTTTCTTATGTACTTTGCAACCCTCAAGTGATGATTTTTTATAGCCTGCATACTTATAGCTAACCTACTTGCTTCAAACAATTTGATGCGGCACACAAGAGCAAGCCCTGTGACAGAACTTGCATTTACAACACACATTTGCAATGATGTCACTGTAGCCATTTAGTAGTCATATGAGAAGGGAGCAGATGAATGCAGTCAAATTTTGGTGTGATCAGGTAGTCTGTTTTTTATATCTTGCTGGCTTTTCACAAAATGGTTTATGACGTGATGGATTTTTAAGTGCAACAAGAAAGGAAGTCTGCCACTGATTGAAAAACTTTCCGTTATAGCCTCTTGCACTCAAAAAGTGAGCCAGTGGTAGCCCTTGGTTCTATCCTTCATGCAAACCACTACAATACATTTTAGCGGTAATCCTAGCAAAATATCTTCCGTCATAGTTTCACAACTTCATGATCTCGTCGCCAGGCAATTTTTTTTTTTTTTTTATGTGGTAATGTGGACGCACGGAATGCTTCCGGTTCTCTGTGAAACTCTTTTTTTTTTTTTCAATCAATTTAAAGCAAATTTTTTAGAAGTCACAAAAAAATGGGCTTCATACTTTTTCTATTTTTAATATCGAGTGTGTGCCTCAAATGACCCACGACTTTGATTAAATTTGGTGGTTGTGTCGAAACCTTGGAAAACGACCCGTGACCATGGAGAAGAGAGTGAGCGCAACTCAAACCCGCCAGTTCTCAATTGGTGGTTTTCGGGCGGAAAGAAACCGAATTTCGAGTTGCAAATTCTGTTCTGGGTGGTTGGGCTCTCATATGTCATGTACAACTAAAAACCTTGGCAAGCATAAATACCCTGTCAGTGTACCTTTAAGGTTCAACTGAGATAAAGTAAACAAAAAAGACTCTGTGTAAGGTGCTCAATAAACTTGTCCCTCTTCCAGGTGCAAAGCAAGACAAGAGAAGAATTCAAAGCTCACCTCAAGGAGCTGCATTTTTTCTTGTATCTTCTCACGTGTGTTAATCACATCTGGCCGCCGCCTCCTGTAATACTGAAGCATTGGAACCTCTTGTCTTGAGCAAAATATGCTTAATCTTACCCAAATGCATGAGGAATGCAGGAGTAGAATTCATTGCAGGCATCGGTCAGGCTGCTACCAAAGCATGCACTGTCCAGACAGTTTTCAATCTTGCGGAGAGCCTTGTATCCCGCCTGAATCTGTTCTTTCTTCAGTTTTCCTGCAGTTCAATCACAGACTGGTCAGTAAACAGAACAGGTATGCAAATCTGGTCTACATCTGTGTAACATAGATAAAACACATCATACCAAGGGGCATTTTCCTGATGTCAAACTGCATCTCCACAACATTCTTCTCCATTGCCTTGACATCAGAAATGAAGCGCATGACTTCCTGCAGAAGCACAAGAAGCAATTGAAGAAAAATGTTTGTTGGGTACAAACAGATAAATACGAAATATGTACTTACTGTTAGGCTTGGTTGAAGCCGGCTTTCGTTCGAACTCTTGTGAATCTCCTTCACGATATTCTCAAATTTGTCACTCTCATTTTCCTAGCGAGGCACATGAAATTACAGGGTTGTGGCTACCTTTTACCGGAAAATGCGTGAGAAAAAGAGTATTCCCATACTTACAACGCTGCTTTCATAGTCCATCTTGAGCATGTTATACTTTCCAGGTACTTTGACAAACTTTCTACGGTTTTCCCATTCATTGCGAGTCTTTTGCAGGAACCTATAAAGACCCAAAGTAGGATGGAAAAGCAGGTCAGAGACCAATCATCTCTCTTCAGAAAAGAGATGAGCTGCCAACTTGCACTCCTTAAGAAATGCACACCACAGTGTTCTTGATGCTCGTATTCAGCTAATGCGTCATTGCAGGTTCAAACTAGCAATTACATTGCACAGGAGCTAAAAGCCACACGCTACCTGATGCAACAGGTGAGCTGTCAATTTTGGTTTTCTAAAGCCACCCCCTTTGCAATAAGGGAGTCGTTGCATGTAACTCCCTGGTTGCAAGCATTTGTTATTCTAGGAAGCTAGGAAAAGTACCCTTATGTAGCTGTTGCAGTTATGACCATGGAGGTCTTAAGAGTCCAAGCCAAGTGCTGTGCAGATGTGATAGCGCTCTAATCTGCCGCTAAGATCAGTAGGCGGTCAGACCTAAGCAGCCAAATCTTTCCCAGAAAGAATCTGGCAAGAAAACTAGGGTTCCCAACCTCTGGAGTTTACTTCTGGTAAAATCTGAAAGGTCTTTTATAAATTTATCAGAGTTTACCCCTGTTCAAGTCTTAATTCTCAGAAATTCTATGCCCATCAGATGATATGTTGTTATAGTCACAATTGTCCAAACTTATGATCAAAAATAAGTAATGCCAAGACAAACAAATCAAGATACAAAAGCCATTTCAGTTAAGAACAATATTTTCAAGAAATCTATGGGACAGGGATTCCACTATAATAAAAATGCTGCCACCTCCTTCCAATAACCAGAATGGTGGCTGGCACAGTCACACTTTGGCTTTTGTTGTGACCCAGAAATAGAACATTGTCTTAAGGTCAGGACCTTAAGACAACATTGTCTTAAGGTCAGGATCGCTCCTCAAGGTTCCTGTCCTGGCTCTCTACCCCAAGACCAATGTAAAGTGTCTACCCCCCCCCCTCCCAAGCTTCCTTTTACAGCGGAGCTGTTAAGGGCTAGTTTCCCAGTATCATGTCCGTGGGCAAACAAACGTTGACACAAAACTCTGGGCAGCTGCTGCCATCTATGAGCGACGGCGGCAACCAGACGATCCTTGCTGGTTATCTGGTTCCCGCCGTCGCTCATAGATGGTGGCAACCTTTCCAGCCTTTCCACTGTGGTTTTCACCAGAGTGGAAAGGCTGAATGTCTCTAGGCGTCGTCCTAGAAGTCATCCTTGAGGTTGTCTTCGAGGTCGTCCTAGAAGTCGTCCTTGAGGTCGTCTTCAAGGTCATCCTAGATGTCATCCTCTAGGCGGTGTCCTTGAGGTCGTCCAAGAAGTCGTCCTCGAGGTCGTCTTAAACGTCGTCCTCTAAGCATCGTCCTAGACGTAAAGATAACAGCTTCGCTGGTCTCCCTTCTTCACCAGAGTGGAAAGGCTGAAAGTTTTTCATTGTGATCTCAAATTTCCAAGTTTATCATATAAACCCAAATTGAAAAAAGAGTTTCCTGGTGAATTTTAAAAGTAATATTTTCGATTTACTCAAAAACCTGGAATCCCACTGGTATCCAAGACACTGCAGCTTAGAAAAACATTATTTTCAGTCGAGCGAGAATGATCAAACCAAACACATCTCAACTGAAAAGTTCCGATCCATAAAGACTTCAAACTCAACAGCAGAAAACGTAACTGTCCTCGCCAAAACTACAGACCAAAACACAATACTTGCTTCTGTTCAAAGAGGAGCTTGGCCTTGACAATGTCGTCCTCGCATGGCGTGAGGGAGCAGCTGCCTTTCTCCCCCAATCGGCCCCAGTGGAACCAGACATAGTAGATGTCATAGAGCTTATCCTTGAGCAGCTGTAGCGAGAAGAATTTGTTCTGGTTGGCCTGCACGCTTGTCTGGCTCAACGTAGCGTCGTACACATCACAGCCCTCATTGTAGACGACTGCCTCGCCCTGAAGTTGCGTGCACAGGGGATCCACAGCTGGGATGACAAGGCGTGGCCCATCTAAGAAAAAGATGCATTTGAAAGGCGCCTCCCACGTGAAGCACTAATGCGGTAAACCGGCTAGAACAGTTTCCTACACTACTATTGACAGTCTGTGACGAAGAACAATGCTGTTGCACCCATGCAGCACATCCAAATTTTTTCTGGCACAAAATGCAGAAATTAAATGCAAGCCAGAAAGACTGACCATTCAGATATTCAGTTAATTATTTCAGGTTACAGGCAGTTTTACAAGGTTAGCCATTTTCGGCCCAGTAGAAGTGCATATGAGCGTGAAATAATTCAGAAGCATACGAGCGTGAAATAATTCAGAATAATCTGCCACCTGCCATCCCAATTTGTGTTGGCACTTCCTGGGTGGAATGACTAAGGTACTCATGTTTGTTTATTGCAGAAATATCTTTGAACCAGACATCTGCTTGTATTTATATACATGACAGGGGTGGAACTCATGAAATGTACTTTGGAGCAGCCACGGCAGCAGCTGAAACAGCTGTTTTCAAGCAGGTTGGGAGCAGCTAAGACTACATTCTGGAGCAGGTTAGGAGCAGCTCAGATCAGTTCTCACTGCACTTCAGCTAGTGTCTTAGACAAGCACGGGAGCAATTTCAATTGTGCTTAGCAGCACAGATGAACATGAGTGGTTAGGGATCTAGGTAGATGGGATAACAGTGTAACAGATTCGAAAACACTTTGTGAGCGAGAACCAAAAAGCAAGTACCATATGTTTCTGAAGATAGTGTTCTAGATTGTTTCTGAGTGGCTTTCAGCTGCTCAAAATTCAAACTAGCACTGTTTATCGCAAAACCCACACGTGCTCAACATAGTAATTATATGTGCAAACCACGTGACGTACGTAAGCAACAGACGTGCAATTGTGCGGAAGAACAGGGCAACAAATTTCGAGTTTATCCTATTGTGTAACTCAATATCGAAGCAGCAGACGACGATTAACGGAGTTATCGTATTCGAAGCGATAAGCAGGAGCAAGGTTAACGTATGCCGAGGAGATCTACCGCTCGCATGAGTGCTGCTGGCCGGCAAGGTTTCAAATTGGACCGCGTTTCAGTTCTATCAAATCACGATTTACCTTGCGTGAATGCGGTTCCAACTTCTAACGATGAAGTACTAAAAGGAATCTTCTGCTTATTTGTTTTCAACTGGCTGACGTCCGGATCCCAAGCCGCAAAGCCTCAGGCAATCTGACGCTTAACGACTCGACCTCACCTCGGCCGACTTGCTTAACCGCTTATGGTTGAAGAATAACAACTCAGTCGCAGGTAATGTAGCGCTTGGAATTTGACCCACCGTTTTTTCTCGTGCTTCCGAATCGGGATACAAAGGGAGAATAAACAGAACAAAGGATTACAAGGCCGACCAAGCTAAACGCGCTCATTGTTGCCAGTCAAGTCGATAGAAACCGAAACCAAGTCAAAATAAAAATGTTTTTTTTTTTGCCGCACGTTTTGCGATTTGGTGCATAATGGCGCGAGGTATTGACTGTGGCGCAGTTTCTGCAACAAGGTGCAGGATGGCGCAGACAAATGCGTCTGGCGCAAAATGGAACAAATGGCGCAGCCGTTCCACCCCTGACATGACTTCAGACAGAGATCAGTTTCGATTATGTGTAAGGTTCTGTGTTTATTTTGGGGGTATGTTTTCTGACAGATTCTGTGTTTTTGGTGTAAATTGGTTATAACTTAAGCAATTTACACAGAAAACACCGAACCTGTAGCAGAAAATTAAACCCCCCCAAAAAATACCCCCAATTTTGAGGGAAAAAAAAAAATAAACACTGAAAACACAGAACCCTAATTATGTGAAATCATAAAAAAAAATGCTATTGAAGCTGTACACGGTGTAGCTAGGCCATCCGGCACCCGGGGCTCTAATATCATTCGTAGCATCCCCCTCCCCTTCTCATTCACTGCCCCAATCGCAAACAACCTCAACCAGTGAAGCAGGGGAGGGAAGTCAGGTGTTGCTAAAGGTGGACACCTCCCACCTGACTGGGACACATAGTACCCGGGGCCCCCCCGGCACCCCTTGTTGCTACGCCACTGGCTCTACAACTTAAGTTTGCCAACAAAAAATAAAGCATTCCAAGACACCACAATCAAAGACAAGTTAAATAGTTCCTTTTTTTACGCTTAACTTGAACGTTGGAAATGCTTCTGCTACGTAAAAGGCCGACAACTCTTGTAAACAGTTCTTTGGCAGCAACATGTACAATGTTCCTTTGCCTTTGCAAATCAAACTGCTACCTCACTTCTCGGCCTATCTTTGTTAATGCTGTGAAGCCCCTCTCAGAAACACAGCTTTGTAGGCGCATTTGAGGCTTAATGCAAACTTGCTTTGAAAAATATTTATTTAATGACCAAAGAAGTGGGCACCATATGCGCCCTGCTGTTTGGTCATAAAAAGAAAAAATGCTTTTAGCCGTCTCAAGAGCGTCCAGGAAGAACAAGGTGACGAGTGGCAGTGAAAATGTACTTTAGTGGCCTTTTAACACACGAAACATATGAATCACATGGTCATACCGATTTTAATTGGAGTGTAGCTAGTAGATGCCAAACAGGTCGCCGGAGTTCCACCTGGACATATGACGCATGCTTCGGGATCATCCGAGTCGTCAGAACTTATGACAATGGTATCCAGTTTTGGCTTTTTCGAACTGCATAAAAAATTAAGCACAAGTTAGACAGAACGACTGTAAGGTTAGGTTATACGGTAGAGCCTTCCTTATGTCACTTCAAACACTTGGTTCATCATTTCTCACTAATAAACATCCAGTTTGTCAGATTCTATTTTGGCAAGTTTCATAAATCATAATGCAGCAACATATAGCTACCTGTGTGAAAACCACCTTATTATTTCATATACATCCTTTTGGAAAAATGACACTTGTCATGGCATTGCGTGTGCACTAGCACTAAAAGCTATTTCCTCCACATCTTTCAAGAGTGTCGACTTTGTTCATGTTGGCCCACCTCTTGTGCCAAATGCTCTAGAATATATTATGGAACTAAGTGATACTTGTGGTAGTTGTTGCATTCCCTTTCTCATTTCTTCAAAGAACTCCAAAGCATCCAGCACTAACAATGGCCTAACAGCCTGAAGTAGATCGAATGCTCTCCCATACCATGGCTATACACCTGGCTAAACCAAACATGACCCTTCCCATTGGTCACTCAATGAGTCTTACTAGGATGGTGGTAGAAGGATGGACATTCAATACATCAATGTCACAATAGACCCCTATCGAAAATGCGCTGTTGGAAGCTGTGGAATCCCTCAGCAATATCAGGTATACAGACACTGTCCAAGTTGGAACCCTAGAAATGTTACTAATTCCATCTCATCACCACCTTATATTGTTGAAGACTTGAATGTTCCGCGGTGTCCGTCATTGTTAAGTGGTTCATACCTTGTAACCGGCACGCGACTTTCGAAAGGGGACTAAATGTAACATAAACGGAAAAATGGTGTTACCCAGTATTTGGCAGGAAGTCATCAGTACTTCCTGAAATGTTGACAAATAAATATTTAAAAAAATTATTACTTTGTAGATGGTTGAGCGTTGCTTTCTAATTTACAATAAGGAAAGAGGGACAAAGACACATATCTGATAGACACAAGCACTGTCTTGTCTGTTTGTCTTCAATGTCCCTCCTATCGTAAAATATATATATATATTTTTTTTTATGTGAAAGTGACGTACAAAAAAATGACACTAAGAGAAAACCACACCATGTTGGTTGATCGCTTATGGCGATTTTATCCGAGTCTGCAATTTGGGGATGCGAAGCAAACATTAGGGTCGTACACGCACGCTCAGTGTACGAGTCTGCGCTCTTTGTTACAACAGAGATAAGCGCCTCCCGAGCAGCACCATAATCTTACCATTGAATTTTGGTGTTTCTTGTATTCCGTTCCTTCGTCATTTCTCCTGTCTTAGCCATATGCGATGTGGAAAAGATAGGTATTAAGATATGTGTCGAAGGAGCTGTCACAAAGTGAGGTCGGCGGGGCTTCTGGCGTTGATACCTGTCCCTTGACAATCGCTGCGTTCAGATGAAGTTGCTAAGAGGCCAGGTCTAGGAGATATGTTGCGATCTAAGACTGCTTCAAAATGTCATTAGGATAAAACAAACACACCGCTGCCACCGCTGCAGCTCTCAAGCGCGAGCTGGCGCCGGTTGAGAGCGCGTTCGGCGCGTTCGCGCGGGTAAAAAAGGAATCCCCCGTACCAGTGTTGCCAGGTGTCCTTAACAAATATGGCCATAACGCAAAAAAAAAAAAAAAAAGAAATAAAAGAGTTGAGTTCTTGGGTTTCATCTAGCGGGTTTTATTTACAATAATATTAAAACAATTAAAAATAAAAGGTTTTGAAATTCTAGAGCAAGATCAATATTTATCTATATATTTTATCACTTTGTCTCTTGAAGTCACTTATGGTTAGACTCGATCTGGACTCGATATCGAAACCATTGATCGAAATTAAATGGACACTGACAGGGTATTTATGCTCGCCGAGGTTTTCAGTTGTACGTGACATATGAGAGCTCAACTATCCAGAACAGAATTTGCAGCTCGAAATTTGGTTTCTTTCCGCCCGCTCGCTCACTCTCTTTTTCGCGGTCACGGGCCGTTTTCTAAGGTATCGATGCGACCACCAAATTTAATCAAAGTCGTGGGTCACTGAAGGCACACACTCAATATTAAAAATAGAAAAAAATATGAAACCCATTTTTTGTGGCTTCTAAAAAGCTGTAAATACGTTATTGAAAAAAAAGTTTCACAGACAACCGGAAGCATCCTGTGCGTTCGTCGTTTCGCGTATCGTGGGACTCGCGGGGACGGCGATGGCAGCGGACGACTGGCGTGGGGCCTCTATTTCAGAACTGTCGTTCGCGGTACCGGCGAATTCTGTCTACCGTTAAAAAAGAAATTTGGGACTGATCAAAAGAATTGGTATTCATCCCGTACGACACGCCCGGCCACCAAGCCGATTTGCACGAAGACGTCGCCGAGCCGTCGCTCCCTTCTCGTGGCTGAAGACAACGCTCGCGCAAACGTCAAGCACGACGTGTCTACTTCGAGTTCAATATGCACGCGTACGATTTCTTTACTAGGTGCGAATGTACCCAAAGCGTGGTGCTTCCCGACTTCGACCCGGGAGTGCTTTTGCTAGAAAAAAATCGACAGCAAACTTTCCAACTTACAGTTTACAGGCTCGATTATTACTAAGGGAAGAGATCCACCAGACACAAGATGCCCCAGTAGCTCAGTGGGAAAGACGTTCGCTTCACACGTAGTAGGACCGGGTTCGATCTCCTGCGATTTTTTTTTTCAAACATTTTCCGATGTTTACATATCTTTTTCTCTTTTTTTTACAATCATCACTGAAGAAACAAACAAAAAAATAACAAACAAATGTTGTGGACGATACTTCGCTGAATTAAACGGTATGGGATTTCCGTTTTGACACCTGCGAACTCAATGTAATCACTTTCCACAAACTGCAAGGAGCATATAAATCAGGTAGCGTCCGCTTTCCGAGGTGCCCGTAAATGCTCTACAGGAATTGCAGCCAGCCATTGATCCCGATCCCGTTGATCTTTCGGAAACTCTGTCGCACAATGCCACTTTTTTTCGGATGCAGGACATGTGAGCCAGCTCTTCACGCAACATCTTGGGTTTATTCTTTTCGGAGCCGATCATGGAAATTCACCACGGGCACTCACTACTCATCTCCAACTCCTCAATGTACAAAACAACTCATCTTGGAGTACAGAACAACGAGCGGAACAAGCATAACTGCAAAAGAATCGCACGGCAAGCAGTTCCCGCACGCCGCATCGCACGCCGCATGTCGTGTCGTCTGCTACCGGAGAGGAGAAAAAAAAACGCACGGTCGGGTGTTGCCACGTGACTTCCGCCAGTCACTCTTCTCTCCACTTCTCCGACCTCCGTCGGGTTTCGGTTTCGGTTTCGAGCAGTTGCGTCTTTTGGCTTTATTAAAGAAATACGCTACTCTGTTGCAAAATATTAATTGGGTAGTGCTCCGACACCATAATGAAGCGCCTGGCAAAAAGTTAAAAACAATTTTTGGGGGGGTGTCAGTGTCACTCAGTTGGGAAACTGCCGTAGAGACTGCTCTGAAAAAGTGGCCCCAATCTGTCCACCAGAACCGAACTAATGGCGAACACAACTAGGGGTGTCGCGAACTTTTGTCGAACCAGATTTTTTGGTCGAACTTTCGGGGTTCGAGTGGGTCAAACCGGTTCGACGAACCTTCGCACTTTTCACCGGATTCGACCGGTTCGACCAGTGGGTTCGACTTTGTGGACAGTGTGGCCACACCTTGATACAAGCATGTCTAGGTATGGAAAAAAAATTTTATGCAAAGGGTTATTTTATATTGTGAACACCTGCAATTAAAAGAAACTAATTCTAATCAATGAAGAAGTTAATAACTTTATTTTTATTACTGTATTAACTTAAGTCGCCAATCAGCGCTGCACTTAATTCATCTCTTAGCCATTATTATTTTATTTTATTTTATTTTATTGACTTTGTTTCTATTCTTTTGTTCTGATTGATACTTACCCTGAATGTACCCCCCCCCCCCCCCTCATGTAATGCCCTTAATTGGGCCTTTGAGGTACCATGAATAAATAAATAAATAAATCATCCAATCCGAAGCCAACTGGCCAGCCTGTCGAGCATGCGCACACGAGTCGAACCTCAATAGAAGGTTCGTCGAAATTTCCACTAAAAGTTTGAAAAAGTCGAACCTGGTCGAACTCGAACCGCGGCCGGTTCGCGACACCCCTAAACACAGCGCCGTCATTTCTCCCATTGCGGCCACTCGAGGAACTGCACGTTACTTCTATTCTGGCTTTCATCGGTCGTTTGGGCGCCGAAACAGATACAGCGGAAGAGGTTACAGGAGTGCCACCCCCGTCTGCCCAGCGGACGCGCCGCGAATTTCTACCGAAGCTAAAATGCACCTAGGTCGGGACGCGCTACCTGAAAGGACCGCTGAGGCATGGTTGTATAGAAACAATGTTAATTGTTCTGCAAAACCTTGCAAACTAAAGATTCCAATTGGCGAGCGGCTTGCCGATTGCTGGCCTCAAAGGCTTCTTCCTGGCGCCGGGTTACTGCTGCCTGCTGATCTGGATGTAGGTGATCTAGGGCCAACCGAATCTGCCGCCCAAAAAGAAGCTCTGCGGGGCTCCTTCCAGTGGAAGTACTGGGAAGAATATCTTGGTCGAAAAGAAACCTGGCAAGACGGGTTGACCAGTCGCCGCGAATGATTTTCTTCAGTGATTTCTTGGTCTCTTGAACCATCCTTTCGGCTTGCCCGTTCGAGGAGGGATGGTAGGGTGCCGCAAGGACTTGGCGGATGCCATTTCTACGAAGAAACTCGTTAAAATCTCCTGAAGTGAAAGCAGTACCGTTATCCGACACCAAAACATCAGGCAATCCATGCGTAGCGAACAGCGTACGTAGAGCTGCGATCACTGTCGAAGCTGACATGGACTTGACTCGTTGAACTTCCAACCACTTAGAGTGCGAATCTACTACGATGAAGAAAAACTCCCCCTGGAAGGGGCCCGCGAAATCAACGTGTAGCCTCGACCATGGTCTTGTTGTGAATTCCCATGGGTGGAGGGGTGCCCGGGCTGGCGCGTTTCGTGACTCCTGGCACGGAAAGCAGCAACGTACTCGGCGCTCTATGTCCTGGTCAAGTCCCGGCCACCATACATAGCCCCTTGAAAGGCCCTTCATCCTCACCACGCCAGGGTGACCACTGTGAAGTAGGTCCAGAACTTCTTCTCGAAGAAGCGGTGGTACGATAACACGGCTGCCCCACAAGATACAACTGTTGTAAACAGACAGTTCATCACGGCGATCGTAGTATGGCTTGAAAACTTCGGAAGGTTTCTCAGATGGCCAGCCATGCAAAGTCCAACGCAGTACGAGGGCGAGAACGCGATCCTTCCTTGTTAGGAAAGCTATCTTCTTTGAGTCGACAGGCACCTCGGGGGTGGACTCAATGAGCAAAACGTCATGAAGGGGAGGTACCTCGAAGTCCTGAACCTTCTGCAGAAGGCGGCTGAAAAGGTCAGCATTTCCCATCTGCCGGCCAGGTCGGTAAATGTGCTCGTAGTCGTACTGCGCCAACATCAGGCTCCAGTGCAAAAGGCGTGGTGACAAGACCTGGGGAATCGGGTTGTTGTGGTGCAGCAACCCCAGAAGGGGCTTGTGGTCCGTAAAGATCTTGAAATGCCGTCCGTACAGAAATTGATGAAACTTGTTCACTCCCGCTATGACAGCCAAAGCCTCACGATCCGTCTGTGAGTAGTTTCGTTCTGCTTGTGTCATTGTCCTTGACCCGAACGCTACTGGAGATTCTTGACCCGACGGTGAGACATAGCTCATGACGAATCCTAACCCATACGAAGAAGCATCACAGGCCAATACCAAGGGAAGGGCGACATCATAATGTGCCAGAACCACGGACGACTGTAATAAATCCTTGGCTTGTCGGAAAGCTGTCGCTTCTTCCCTTCCCCATTTCCATGCAGCACCGTTGTCCAGCAACCGATGAAGAGGCTCCAAAACATGAGCAGCCCCTTTCAGAAACCGACCATAGAAATTTAAGAGGCCAAGGAAAGACTGCAATTGCTGTTTGTCTTCCGGTTCGGGAGCGGTCTTGATGGCCAGAACCTTGTCTTCCGTAGGATGTATGCCTTTCCTGTCAACTTGGTACCCCAGGAACGTCACTTGAGGCACTCCGAACTTGCACTTGCCCTTGTTCAGACGGAGACCGTCGTCACTGATTCTCTTCAGCACGCCCCTTCGTGTTCTTCACTGTTTCTACCACCAATCACAATGTCGTCGAGGAACACCAGAACACCATCAAGTCCGGCGAGCAATTCTTCCATGTAACGTTGGAAGATCGCTACGGCTGTAGCAACGCCGAACTGTAGACGTGTGACCCAGAAAAGTCCTCGATGAGTGTCGACCGTTTGGAGATCTGCTGTAACCTTGTCTACTTCCTTCTGGTGGTATGCCTGTTCCAAGTCTAGCTGGGAAAACTTCTGGCAGCCAGCCAGTTTGGCAAACAGCTGATCAGCCGTAGGCAAAGGGTATGTTTCCCACCGGAGGGCACGGTTTACCGTACACTTGTAATCGCCGCATAGGCGGATGTTCCCATTCTTCTTGAGAATGGGCACCGAGGGGGTTGCCCAGGAAGAGTGACGAACAGGCTCAAATATTCCTTGTTCCACCAGTTTATCGATGGCCTCGTCGACTTTTGGCAGCAGCGGAAGTGGCACCTGGCGGGCCTTAAAAAACTTGGGACTCACGGCGGGGTCGATATCTACACGAACTGGCGGCCCCTTGCTTCTCCCGAGTCCTGCTTGGAACAGCTCAGAAAATTCGTCCATCACATTACGGACTGTGGCTGCCTCAACATGCTGCAACGAGGCGTCGACATGGTTGACACCCTCCAGGGAAATGCCCAAGGACCGGAACCAGTCGCGCCCTAAGAGACTGACGCCAAATCCCTTTACAACCAGAAGCTAAAATTCCACGCTTTTGCCCTTGAAGGAAACGTCCGCTGTTGCTTTTCCAAGAATCCGAAGACTCTGCCGTGTATAAGAGCGCAGCTGGAAGGTGCACGGCTTGAGGCTGCTTTTGGAAATGCGGAGCTGGCGCATCACACGCGGGTTGACAACCGTAAAAGCCGACCCGGAGTCAACTTCCATCCGCAGATTGCAACCGTTGATTACTACATCGCAAAATACGGGTGGCTCCACGGCGAAGACACAGTAGTCTCTCATCAATGGGTCCACCGTCTCCAGCCTGTTGTTGCAGATTGCTGACCGTCGACGTTCGGCTCTCTCCTTTTGGCGGCACGCAGCGACAATGTGGCCCTTGTTATTACAGAAGTGGCACACCGCCCCAACGAAGCGGCACGTTTTTGCGTTATGCGCTCCATTGCAACGCCAGCATGTACCTGGCGAACCTGGCTTCAGGCTGCCCTCCATAGTTTCAGCTGTGCAGCTGGATTCGGTAGGCGGAGAGCTTGTCGCGCGCGGTGCGGTGTTTCCACGCGGCGACCTTGACGTTGCGTCGATCCCCACGCGATAGGTTTCTGATACCGCCGTAGGCTCCGGTTTAGCAGAGGTACGGATTTCGATGGTCTGGAATTTGGCTAGCTCCGCTGCCTTCGCCATGTCTAGGGTCTTGCACAGTGTTAGGTTCGGGTCGGCGAGTAGACGTCGCTGCAACGCGTCGTCTTGAACGCCGCAAACTCCGCGGTCACGAAGCATGTCGTCGAGCATCTCACCGAACTCGCAGTGCTCCGACAAACGTCGGAGATCTGCTACGAAATCTGCGATAGACTCCCCAGAACGCTGGCCCCGCTTGAACTGGAATCGCGCGAAGGTTACCGGCGGCAGGGGAGCGAAGTGCTCATGAAGCTTGAGTATGATGTCCTTGTATGGTGTTTCGACTGGAGCTCTTGGCGAACAGAGGCAGCGCAAGATGGCATATTTGGCCGAGCCACAGACGCTGCAGAGAACGGCTCGTTTCTTCTCTGGCGTGGTGATATCGTTCGCCACGAAGTAAAATTCCAGGCGCTCGATATAGCGTGGTCAGGATGCAGGGTCATCTGGCGTAAACTCTTCGAAGGGTGCATACGCAGTCATACTTGCTGCGGTGGAGCGCTGTCGTTGCCGAGACCTCACGTTTACCTCGTCGCCAGTGTAATGTAGTCCGCTCGAGGCGTCGGGTGCGTCAGGCACGGAGGACCAAGGGTTTATTTGTACATGTACGTTGTATGTGGTGCTCTAGGTCGAGCAGCCGTAACCGAACGGGGGCACGCGGAAGGAGACCTCGCTCGCGCAGCTGCCGGCGCTCGCGTGGACCGTCGCTGTCTCGCGGCCGGCATGCCACCACAGACCAGTACACGACACAAATTCATCAATTTGATTAAACAGACAGCCGATTGTGCCAGCGCGGCACTTAGCTTAAGTTTGGGAACTGGTGTAAGCTTAGAAAGTTCAAGGGGTTTGATGAATCATTGACAAGTGTGTTTGCACACCCCAGCTCGAAGCACGCACGTGGAGCGAAAGCTCGCGCTGCAGAACCGAGGGATCCAGGGCTGAATCCCCAACCCTGCCCGTTTCGATGGAGGAGCATGGCGTGTGGTCGTGTATCACAACTGCATGATGCACGTTAAGACCCCAAGCTAGCACTGGTACCGGACTGGCTAAATTTCTCGTCTACAACGGAAATACCAGACACCCATTGAGGCTGACGCTATAACTCTCGCTGTGTAAACAAACACACAACACAGTTAGGTAAATCGAACGAATTTTATGCACCGGGGCACTGTCGTTTCTGTCCTCGTGCTAATGGAATGTGCAGGAACCTTACTTTTACGCCACCCTCCGCTAAAGACGGCAACATGGCCGTGTTTAGTGGAGGCAGGTGCAGATGAAGACGAGGATCGTATCAGGACGATCAGCCTGAGGTGGGGGGGTTGTTCACCTAATTAGACCACAGCTATAAATACAAAATTCCTCGTTAGTGAACTAAAGATCTTCGTACAAAATCGTCGCGATGTCTTCTACAAAACAAGTGGCTCTAAATCGCGGTAAAGGAACCAACGACGAAGACACGGAGTTTTTCTCTTCAAGTAGGACAGTTGTCGATCAAAAACAGAACGACGAGCCGACCACCGCGAGCCCTGCCCTGTTCAGGGCTCCGTCCAGTTGGAAAAGAATGAACTGGCCTTTGCACAGCTGGTCCCCAGTGCGTCGGGGACATTCCGACGGTAATGTGACAATCCCGAGGGACGTGGCCACGAGCATGTCTTCGGAGGTCCTCGTGTCGCCCAATCGTCAGTCCGCAGGTGTCATCAAGAGGAAGCGTGTCGTCGACGTGGGACAGAAAACTGTGGATCAAATGAACGAACTTGCGCGCTATGTGAACACCAAGGGACCCTGTGCTATATGTAATACACCGGGGACTGTTGTGACATTGACACAGATTAAGAAGCGGAGGCGAAAATTCATGCACCACTGGTCCAAGCATGGTTAGTGGCAGATTCCACCTTTGTGCCTTTCTTTGTATATTTGGTGTGGAACCAACGACTTATTCTCTGGATCACTGTTTGTGTGGCAGGTACGGAGACCGCGAAAAGATCTCCTGAGCTATGGTCTGCAGACGCCTCGACGCCTCCTTTGGGCCATGTCATCAAGCCGAAGGCAGTCTCTTGGACGGAACATCGTGAGGTCGGCAGAGGCACTAGATCTGCAAGACAAATTAGGGCTCTTTCTTCTTGATTCTTTTCATTTTCTCGGGGTCGTCTGACACATTACAAGTGACCTCCTATACTCGTCATTCCGGTTTCTCTGACTTTCCTGGGTTATGTATATCTGACTTGCTGCAGGGTCAGTCTTAATGGAATGTCAGTGTGCACGATAGACCATTTCAGATGCCAAGCAGCTTTCATTGAAGTCGTGGACTCACCCGTTTTGAAGTGCTACCTGGCGCGTCTCTATAGATTTAATAGTATAACACCCAAATTACTGCATCCTGAGCCTGACGTTCTAAAAAATGTGGACTATTTGAATCGACGTGATATTTCACGTTGATTCCAATAGTCCACATTCCACTGACGTTTCAAGATCCCTGGTTAGCGCAAATTTGCCGCTGGCCACTTATCAGACTCGCGGATTTCAACGAACGAATAGAAAAGACGTAGCGCGGTGAGGGAGAGCAGAACCGAACTGCATGACGTCCCGCACAAAGCGTGTATTAATGAGGTCACTAGTTTGCTTTCATGATGCCTTGATTGACCAAGACCTTCGATAAAACCGTAGGCGTTAATTGCATCATATCATAGGGACTTGTCAACGGTGGCAGTGCCGTCCAAAGGGAGGGGTTCGGGGTTCCCGAACGGCGATAGTTAATAATGTTATACTAAACCCCCCCCCCCCCCCACCCCCTTTGTTTTTCCCTCGGCATAAACAGCGTACTGACCGTACTGAGCGCATCATTACCTTTCCAATACTTCGTTTCAGGCTTCAGCTTAAATTTCAGACGCAGCCGACGCTAAGCGATAGGGGGAACAATCAAGCCTTGTCAAAAGCGCGTCACTAGGCCTTTTTTGTATATGATTGGTTCAGCGATGATAGAACACCTATAGAAACACGACGAATTCACCATCATGGTGCGCTTTTGACGCTTTCTGATTGGTCCCATTAACTCGTAGCGTCGGCTGCAGTCTGGACTTAAGGTGAAACAAAGTATAGTCGTCAACAGTTAATTAAAATCAAATTGTTCATACTTTTTTTTTTCTTTCTTAATTTAAGACTGAGGGCGAAATAGCAGCTCTCCATACACAGCGCGAAGTGGGCTTGGACCTAGTGAGCAACGACACTGGCGCTTTCCTGCTGCTTGTCAGCGTTGTGGCTCTCGTCGTGGGCGTCCTGGTGATTATCAAAGCCACTGAGAACAGCGTCAAGGAGTACCTCTGTCTAGTCACTCCGGCAGCCTCCATGGACAGTGCCTTGCAGAGTAGGTCCGCTAAAAGTACTGCCATGTTTTTGTGTTACAAAAAAAGTAAGGTTACATTTTAACAAAGAAGTTTGAGAAGTATGATACGTACACACATATATAAAATTAGCAAATTGATAATTAGGAAGTGAACTCTTCTCGTTTTATAAGCTGCATCTAAATTCATCAAGGTCGCCCTTGTTATAACTGTTCCATTTTCCGCGCTAACTGTTTTTTTTATTTTTTTTTTATTTTTTAGTAATAAGTTTACGATATTGATTTATGTTCGTGTATTCACGGTTTAGCTAGATTCCTCAGATTCCATTGGGTACAATTGACTTTGTTTCGTAGATTATATACGCATCGCTGCGGAAGGCGCTGACGCATCGCTGCGTCAGCGCCTTCGGTATAGTATAGTTTTTTACCAGTAGATGATTCCATTGTGCTAGATCTCGTACCATATATGTGCCCTACTATGTTAAGCTACGTCCTCATGCCGGACCCCTCCGCATGGATTATCATATATAATACATAGATTCGCGAGCAACGCTAAATGGCAAATTCGGTCGAACCGATCTTTCGATCTCCAAATGAGCGGAATTATTTGAGAGGGCTCAGACTCTCCGTTACTTCGTTCAGTGGCGAGCGAAGAGCTGGAGCTCGAGGGGGGCGTTCAAGAGCCGACGGAAGGCAAGCGGCTGGATGGCGAGGAAGACAAGCAGGGACTTCTGGATTCGCCCCTATGGTCCGGACAGGACCGGGCGGCCCGCAAGATCCAGCGGTGGTACCGGCAATGCCAGGCTAACCACAGGGAGGGACGGGACCAAGCGCGCAGGAAGCGCACTGACCGCTGGGTCCAGTCTCTCCGCGCTTTTCTAAGTCGTAAGTTAAACCATCGGGGAGGCCCGCCATCTTCATCTCCCAAAAGCGCCATGCGTCATTGACGGTTGACTACATTTTTGGAAGAGCTGAAAGCCCATTAGCTCCCCTGGCCACACCCTTGGTGTACCGCGTCGTGGACACCGATGGGGCGAGAGCTCGTAGCTTTGGAATGGTCCCTGCACTTTCACACCTGTAGTGTTTTACAATATGGCACACTACATAAAACGGTGTATAGCGTATTTACACTGACATCAGACATCACAATCAAATTGCGGATTGAAATAAAATTGGGTAATGCGAAATGCATGTGCGAAATGCACGCGGTCAGGGTTTGCTCGCGGTACGAGCTCAACACGACATGATATAGGCAGGGGTGGATTTAAAAAGGAAAAAAGGGGGTGGGGCGTTTTTTTTAAATTTCCTAAGGGCGACATTTTTATAGAAAAACTGGCATACAGCAGCTTTTTTTTAGGAAGAAATGTTTAGTTTTTTGGGGATATGGCAATTGTTAGGTCAACGAAATATATCGCGGCAATGCTCTACCCGTGACGTCACGTCTTTTCGTGACGTGAGGTCCGTTCACGACGTCAGATCTCTCTGCGGAACTCGCCCCCCCCCCCCCCCCCCCACCAAAAAAAAAAAAAAAAAACATCACAAGTCAACAAACTAAATTCCTACCGATAAATCCGGCCCTGAACGGGCGGCGCTGCGCATGGGCGCCGCCATACCGGCCTACAGTTTGTGTTTCCTCTTATTTTCATCACTTCGCTCCATCATTACCACAGCAGGACAGGTTATTGCCTTTTTAGATTTGACTCTGGCCTCCCCAGCATTGGCCTTTGTGGAGGCTCGTCAATGCCCGCTTCAGTGGCTCGGTATATCGGTAAGACCAGAGAAGGTGGGCTATGGCGGCAGTAATCTGGTGCCTGTGCAAAGCGTCTATAATTTTTTTTTTTTTTTATGTCTGCAAATGTTTTACTATAGGGACCAAGCGAAAGGTTCGTATGTTCTTAGTTTTAACTAAATAAAAAAAAAACGCATCTCCACGTAGTGAATGATGTTGATTGGGGCGAAGCTCTGGTGGTGCTTGTCTGCGTAGACGCTGAGCCGCAGCATGCCAAGCCTTTCGTTCGTTTTCATCCATGTCACGCTGCGGTCAAATGCTCAAATGCGTATATAACCACATTTCATACCACACATTCTCTTTCTGACATGGATGAAAACGAACGAAAGGCTCGGCATGCTGCGGCTCACCATCTACGCAGACAAGCACCACCAGAGCTTCGCCCCAATCAACATCATTCACCACGTGCAGATGCGGTTGTTATGTTTTTTTGTGTTTTTTTTTTGTTTTGTTTTTTGCCCTACACGAGCCCCCGACGCCGGGCATCGGAAGGAGCTTCGCCCCTAAAAAAACGAAAATCCGGATATTCAGATCTGTCCAAGATGGCGCCGCCGTCAGGCTGTGGAGTCTCGGCCATCGGCGAAAGGAATGTATACATGCCTTCAGCGCGCCCCAAATTGAAATTAGAATTACTCACTTTCCCGTTCCTTAGCAAGATCCCTTAGTCAACCGAAATGAGTCTAGAAAGGCAGTATAACCTCTTGTGCGACCATAAATAGTGACGAAGTGGAGAGACCCGAATAAATCGAAACAAAATGTGATGGTACAGTTAATGCCTGCCCAATGGTTGGCTTTTCCATGCTTCGTCGTCGTTGCGCCTGCTTCACATATTTGCTACTAGAGGCGCCAAAACCCCATGCAGAAATGCAGACGACTTTTCTTCGCTGCCCGCTGCTAGTCCACTGTGATGCCATTTGTGAATTGAATACATTCGTAACCCATGCTATATAGCAGGCGCAGGGCACCGTCAGTATAGATTTCATATATAAAAGAAGTATACCTTTCTTTTAGCTTTCACGTCTTGGTTTTGCTTCTCTGCTGAAATGCTACCAGACCTCTCTCAGGTGCTTGTCATATCAACAACAGAAATAGTCAGTGCCAGTTAAAAAGGAGACAGACAGGCTGGCGGACTTCTACAACGTTGAAACAGCGACCACTTAGCGTTTTTATTGCTACTGGAGCAGAGCCGCAAAACATATGGCCCGCGGACTACATGCGGCAGTCAAGTGGTTTTTCTCAGGACCGCGAACGCGTCCCCGCTGACCGAAAACCTGCGCACCCATCGGCAGCACTCTGACCGGGAATCTTCATATATACATTTTTAATTTGCTTTTTAAGTGCACAGTCCCTTGATGTTTTTGACCGGTCTGTTGTGGTCCGCACTGTTTTTCACGTATACAGTTCTAGAGCTTTAAAGACTTCGTAGATAGTGGCATTGTTGGTGAAGATCTTCTTGGGGCTTCGTGGATAGTGGCTTGTCAGTCACGGATGCCGAGTAGTTTATGAAAATTGGCCTGAAATACCTAGTACATAGAAGTTGCAAGAAATCTTTGTAATGGTTGACATCGTTCTTTACCTTTGCGTATTTCAGAGCGCCATGGTGTATAAGTGTATCCCCCGCAGTATCACCAGCTGCATGCAACGGCTTTTTCGGCATATTTCCTTTTTTCTGCAAAATCTCTGTGAAGTTCTTCAGCGCACACAACACCCTCACTAGCTTCTCTGGTGAATAGTATAGTCCTCCTCTATCCTGGTGCCTGGGGAGAGAATTACAAGGAGCCATAAAAGCCTGCTTAATGACCCATAGGAAGTGCAACTCACGAGTCCGAGTTGCACATAGGCACGCAACAGTAAGGTATCACTGGAGTTAGAATGCAGCAGAAGGTGCTGATGTGCCCACGATCAATAAATGGAATGAAATGACCGCGCGTGTACGTGTGGCGTCGCGGTGTGCGTGCCACGAGACGCAGACAGCCTCGTGCTATTGAGCTATGCCGGCAATTGCTAAGCGCTCTATCTGCCGGTCAAACGACGACCGAAAGAAGTTACTCGTGTCACAAAAAAATTACGTGATCAAGTGACCTATTTGATCACGTAAGGTCACGTTACCGCGCAACTTAACATAGAAAACTTACGTTACCGCATAGCTTAACGGATAACGTAGCTTACGCTAGCTACAGTGAACTGTAGCAGCAGGCAGGGGACAAACGTCGTCTGCGTTTCTGTATGGGGTTTTGGCGCCCCTAGTTGCAAATCTGTGAAGTAAGCGCGACGACGAAAAAGCAACCATTGGGCAGGCATTTTCAGTATAAAGGAGGCTGTGTACAGTTATTATGGCTCTCTCTGTGCACAACTGCCTGAAACGTCTATATATGTATATCGTTTTTTTTGTTTTTTTTTTTTTGTAATATTTGAGAAAGCCACACTACGATCTTCCGAAAAGGCGCAAAGTGACTGGGTGTCCGCGTGTACGAGCAGGCCTTCAGAAGCGGTGGCAGAAGAGGCGCGTGGACAGGCCCTCGGAGACTCCGGCCGACAGACCGCTGCCGGCACTCACAGCGGCGCCCTGCACGACCGTCGACTGCCCCCTTAGCGAGCCGAGCCGAGGACCCAGCGACACGGAGCTGCACACCGCGGACGGGCCGAGCACCTGCAACTCCCGGTGCTTGCTCAGCGGACATTCGCAGCGCAGCGACGGAGAGCGGGTTGTGCAGCACTGCAGCAGTGCCCCAGTGACGGCCCCTCACATCCCTTCTCGGCCGCTAAATTAAACGAATATTTTATCCTTGGTTCAGTTGAGAAAACATGTCAAAATCCTCTTGGTTACTCTTAAACAGCGACTGATGACCTTTCGTAAGCTATATATATATATATATATATATATATACAAACCCCACAATCATGCGTATTCATGGCTTGCACTTACATGTTGCACCACCGAATTTGTGTTTCTCGTCAATAACAAGTATGACCACCAGCATGATGAGGTGACGTCATGTACGAGTCGTGTACAGTTTATGAACGTCGTTGCTCAATATATTTCCACGCGTCCGTGTTAAATTGATTTAGATTTAGTATATCAAGAGTAGTCTTCTGCAGAGCCGTTGATAAAGATGCATACGTAAAATGTTCACGAGTGAACGTGAGTGAGCGCCGCAGTAACCCTGGTAAGTGAGTATTTTGTATATATGTGCTATCGCGTACAATATAAGCTGTAACAGTCCTTCGTGTTTCTTTGGTGGTCTATACCAGCCGATTTCTGCAAAAGCTTTGATTTAAACAAGTGATGGAACACGAAGTTTCGGTCCCATTCTTTGAGCTCTTTGACAAATTGAGAGATAATGAAGCGTATGGGACCGCGAACGCAGAAAAACGCCAGTTTGGATGGTGTAGCTCATATTGTGCACGGGGTTACGTATGCATGTATTTGTGCGCCGCATTCTCTTTGAATCAAGTAGGAGTATTCACAGCCGTCCATAGCTGGGTGCGAGACCTGAGCTCGTGCTGACGGCTAGCTTCCAGGGTTCTTTTGAAACGCATATTTGACACCATCAAGAATGCTGAACTTAGCAGCCTATTAATGAGAGCTCGTTATGAGCATGCGCTCTAAACATTGCCCTCAAGTATGGCGTTCAGTGAAGAGCCCCTGTAGAAAATGGAAAGCTCCAAGCGCGGCGCCTCCTTGTGGCGACGAATCTGAAAACGCGCCGCTAGAACGCCCCATTGGCGCGCATTGGCAGGCACCGGGGTCGAAGTAGGCCTCGTTGGACAGCCGCCAGAGTTGATCGCTTGCAAGCAGCCCAGATATGCTGCCTCGGGTCGCCCTCCAAAGCCCTTGCTCCTGCGAGCGGCGGCATGACAGGCAGTAAGTGCGCGGCCTTTTGCGCCGCGGGGACGTCAACATACCGACACGGCGCCCGAGGCCCCTGCTGGGCCGCCATGCTGGACTGGCGTCTTTCGTTGCAGATGACAGGGTCGAAGAAACCATCTGGGAGTACAAGGCCCTGATCCTGGACAGGGACAAAAAGTCCAAGGGCCCCAACACTTGGGTAAGGTGAGTCTTCAGTACCGTGACTGAGTCGGTTGCCTGCCTTTGCTATAGAGTGATATAGCTCCTCCTGGCCATCTTTGAACCCGTCGGTTTGTGACCACGCTCTTGCCGCCGTCACTGGTGCGTCCCTAGTTTTGTTGGTACTGTAATCCCAGACATTGTCATCGACGCTGACCCTGCCCTGTAAGTTTTAAGCTGCCATCGAATTTAGTTATGAGGGGCTACGCATTATTCGTAACAACGTGATGATCTTATATCAAAGACTGAATTTCGTAGAGAGATTATGTGGCGAACAACCGACGAACTTCGCCGGCGACACGTTGGCTCTGTGCGCGCGGCGGAACAGCCTCTGTTCTCACGCCAGGTGCCCAGAACGCCACCGGGCAAAATCGGTCGCTTTCTTCTTTTTTTTTTCTTAGTTCAGTCGCTGTTTGCATCATACTGGATGCGTCTTGTAATCGCTACGAGATGTGTACGCAACCTGTAGCCGGAATCCCTATAGAGAATCCTCACTGGCGGCCATAGCCGAATCCGTGGCTGCTGAGAGCGAGCTGACGGCGAGCTTCAGCTGTGATCTTGTAACGTACATTCCACACCAACATGTAGCAATCTATAAGTGTTAGCTCGTTCTGGCCATGTGCAGCGAACAGCGCGCTCAGATATGGCGCCCGGGGGGTATGCCTTATAACATTTAAATTTATGCACGACATTCTTCCCGTCGGTCTTTGGAAGTACTCGCCCTCGTCTCAGAGCACATCACTCATAGACGGGAATCCTATCATATATAAGAAACATGTTCTCTCTCTCTCTCTCGCCGGCGACTAATCCTAAGATGTCCTGGCACATCGGTCGTATGAGGTGCGCTTACTTTGCGCCTCTAATGAGGGTCATAGCTTATTTACCACTATTTCGGGACCCACTGCTCCGGATAATTAATTTCACAACTGCTGTCAGCGTCCGTACTCCATAGGCTATGTTTACACTTGAAATGCGATTGAATACCGAATAAAACCTGTTTAGGCGCGGGTAAAGTAGACGGTGTTTAAACTCGCTGACACATGCATATTGCGTGCGGATCATTCGAGGTTACTCTAAATAAGCGCAGTGCGCGTCTTTTCTGGTTTTTGCAGCAGTGCCAACTCCTTCGTCCGAGTCAATGACGGCGGGCCCGCAGCGCTGCACGAAGTGTGCGAGTTCGGCAACCGAAGCTCACACGACGTAGCATTCAGGGTAATTCGTGTTTTGGCCTGGTCTTTCGTTTCAACGGGGCCGTGCAAGAACTGTATAGTTGGATTTGGCCAGTGTCATGCCCAACGATCTCGTTTCGCGGCTTGACAATAATATATTGCAATCCAAGGAACATACAAACTGAATACGCAAGGAAATGAATCAAACTCGTCAGAGCAGCTAAAGGTGCATTCACACGAGGGAGAAATCCCGGGGATTTCTCCACGACACGCGCACCCCGCGACGAAAACGTCCGGCTTTGGGATATGCAAAAGCTTCGCGTTGTTATCGCGAGCAGCCATCTTTTTTTTTTTTTTTTTTCACCTCGTCTCAAGACTCTGATACTGCTCACTTTATGTTTTAAGGTCACTAAAACTTGCGGGCTTGAATTCATCCCCGACCATGGAGTGCTCAAGCCAAACGAGAAGGTGCCGCTCAAGTTCAGTCTGCATCAAGGTAAGCGTTTTGAGGCGCGAGTGCCACCAGTATGTGTGAGCGCACAGACTGATGCGGTGTTCCCTCGATCCCTCCTCACCCGCAGGCCAGAAATGCCCGGACTACGCTGAAATCGAGATCTTGGCCATTCGTGTGAACGAAGCCAACAGCCGAAAGATCGAAGACAAATGGCGCCTTGTTCCCTCGAACAAAGTTTCGCGTGTCCGGTGAGAAGCTTCTCAAGCTCGCACATTGTTTTACTTGTGCGTTTGGGAAACTCCGGATAAATAGATTTGTCAGTTCCTTATGCAGCACGCCAAACGAGCTCTTCGAGGCTGTTTTTACTTTGGGGTCTTTTCGAGGCAGTTATTATCACAGCTTTATGAAATACACACCTAACCCCGCGGCAACGGCGCGGGGTTAGGTGTATATTTCCCAGGGAGCTATAGCACCAGGGAGCTATAGTCTTGTACAAATATATCTTTGAAGACTGTCGGCCAGCGGATAGAGAGCGACGGCGAGATGGAAAAAATGTCGTGAAAAGAGGGCGCACATTTGTTTTGATAATCATTGCGATCTTATACGGAATGCAACTTAGCCAGTGACAAAACCGCTAAGTGCGGGACAGTATGAAGATTCATGAATCTTTGTTTACTTTCTCCCAACTCACTGTGTGTGTGTGTGTATATTATTCCAGGCAATCTAAGAAACAGGTACGTAGCCTGGGGGGGGGGGGGGGGGGGGATGGGACCCGCCCCCCCCCCCCCCCTTTCCCCGAAATCTTCCATTTTGCTGGAGCCCCCTCTCCCCCCTCCCCCTCATACAGCAGTTTGTCATGGGCGCCCCCCCCCCCCCCCCCCTTGAAACCAAATTCTGGCTACGTGCCTGCTAAGAAATACGGGGTGTTGTCATTCTCCGCTCAAAGTTCTACTCGTAGGGCCAACTTCCAAGCCATTGGTTCACCAACGCGAAATATAACGCCAAAGTTACGTCGTGAACAATAAAGATCCGGTTATTGTTTTCACCTATGGGTATGATGGGTGTGATCGAACCAGCCCGTGCTTTGATTGAAGCAGCTGTTTGATGCAGTGCAGAACCTTACACCATCCGGACCCATAAATACGACACATCGGGAAACTGACGCGACTTCGCAAACGTGTTGTCGCGGCACATTTCATCGACCAGTTCTCGGAATTCACCGCCTATTTTCAGTCTTTTGTTTTCTCCTTGCGTGGAAATCGTTCATACGCTGTTATAATAAACCAGTATACAAAAACCGTCTCATTTACAAAAAAAAAAAAAAAACTTTAGGAAATTTTATTACTATCCATGGATAAATAAACATGTGCGATTCGCCCAAATCTTTTATTAACCTATAACTGTGTGACGCGGGTATACTTTGCCCTTTGGATTATTTTTGTTGTTGCGCGTTGATGTTAGATGACCGCAACTGTGAGAGTTCTGTTGCACAGTCGATATAAAGTTCGGCGACTAATGTTAATTTGCTCCGGTTCCAGTCACACTGTGGAGTTCAAAACTCTCAAGGGAGGTTCGCGCAGCTTTAGCGAAGCGTCGCCTGGACCGGCAGTTCCGCCGCCTGCGAAGTCGCCGCCGGGGATGAACGCCGTGAAAACCGAACCGGGCGTTCCGGGAGAACCGACAGCTCTTCGGAATTTCCCGAGCAACGTCGCTGCCAAGCGCCCCCAGAGTCGAGATTCCCAGACGGACAAGACGCGCACCCTGTCCGAAGCCCCAAGTTGTGAAACGGTAACGCTTCTTTTCAGCTAGGCCTCGTGGACAGTTCCCGTGTTCGCTGCGATTTGGGCTACCGTCTGTCCAAGTCACACAGTCTCGCGGGGCAAGTACAGCACCTATCCTCGCACCCCGCCCTTATTCGATTTCACACTGCCTCATTGCGTTGATTATGCGAGGGTCGAAGGCGTAATCACTAGCTTAATAGTTGACCAGATTAGATGCGAACGGGATGCAATTTTTCCAGTGGCCTCTTGTACCCTTTGAAGGGACACTGAAGTGAATTTTAGCTACGCAACTGGGCACGACGGATATCCGTTGTCGGTATCCTCCTAGAGCTGCATGCATCCCACGTGAACTTCACAAAGTCAGAAACCATCGAAGTACGCTGGTGGCGACATTACTTAAAATGGAAAGAGACTGGCAGGCAGCTGCCACGGCGGCGGGCGTGAAGACAAAGAAAATAATAACTCGGACACAATTTGGTCGAATGCACACATTGCACAGGCACGAGTCCACAGCTTTGGGAAGTGCTTTGGCAGCACGTAGAGGTATACGGTGGAAGCACGGCTCAAACCCTCTGCTGTCGGGGAACGCTCTACTACAACTGCAGTCCAATGATTGTTGCCAAATAACCCGACGAGATATGAAGGCAAAAAGCGTGGAACGATGCAAAATATCTGCTTTTGCTAGGTGCTTTAATTTTTAAAATGACCTTTTTGACAAAAAAAAAAAAAGATACACATAGATTAATGAACAAACGTAAAATACTCCAATAACAAAAAAAGTTCTAAATTGTCCTCGGTGTCCCTTTAATAATGCCGCGATACTAGTGAGAGTTTTTCCTCCAAGTGACTTAAATCCTTATGAAAATATTGTTACGATGGTGTTCGGTCAGCAGGAATGAACACGGACCAGGGGCCGGATTTATGGGTCAGGCTAGGGAGGAGCGATATGCATTCGGCTGGCGGAAGGAGGGGGAGTTTGCTGAGATATGACGTTACGGTCGAAACGTTGCCCAGATCAATTTTGTTGACCCAATATTCGCTATGTCACTAAAATCAAAACTTTTGGCTGGTGTATATCAATGATTTTATTAAAACAAAGTTGAGCTTAGGGAGCAAATAAAATAAAAGGGGGGGGGGGGGGGGGAGGCGGTCGCCCCCCCCCCCCCCGCCCTAAATCTTTTCTTGCCACGGACATGTTTTATAGGTTGAAACCGAATGACATTATGGAGGCAGTGTCATGCGCGTGGGTCGGGCATGTGATAGTATATTGCACATCACTGCCTTAGCGTCGTCGTTCATCGTCACGGCCCAGGACGCTTGGACCGAGGAACTGAAAGAAACACGAGGATAAGTAGAAAAACAAATGCACACACACATACGACATAAAGAGATGAGGACACGTGGACTAAGGGCTCCTGTCGGCCACGAAAGATGAGGGCAGTCATCTTTCACATCAATCACAGTCCCACACGAAACTGTCCTGTTTCGGGACCTTGCGTCATATCGTAAGAACAGTATAGGCCGGGGATGGGGGATGGGATAGTCAATTGTCGTCAGTCTCTGTCATTGAAATTATCTCTTTTCAGTCGCATGCTCGATTCGTCGTGTTACCACTTTAATTCTTCATCGCTTCTGTCCGTCAGTTCTTCATGTCGTCCGGTCTTCAGCATTTCGTCAAGGCGGGGGCCGAGCGGCAGGGCCGTGGTGTGGAGGTCGGCCACGTGCTGCGGAGCATCCCCGCAGACGACGTCATGGTCGATGAACGTGAACGGGATGATGTCTCGCGCCTCACACCAAATGTTGCGAACATGTGCTGCCGGCAGGAATGTACAGGGGCATGGTCACAGGATAAAACCGAATTATTTTATGGTGGAAGGGTCATGCGCGTGAGCCTAGCGTGACGGTATGGCGCTCCTGTCCAGTCACTGCAATGACGAAAATAGCCGAATCCTAACAATGTCTGGAACTCAGCGCGTGTCCTTTGCTTTGTCAACCCCAGCGCGTGGCTGTGATCAACACTGGCGGGATACAATCGGCTCCAGACCACGTGGTCCCTTGTTCTGACTGAGAGTTGAAGGGGTGCACCCAGCTCGTTTTTTTTTTTTTTTTTTTTTCTGCGACTACCATTGCCTCGAGAAAAGCTAACGAGGGTGGTCTCATAGGTTATAAACGTCGGGAATTAATTCTAAGCGGTATTTACGCGAAGTACAAAAAATTAGTGCTGTTTTAATCTATGTTTACAGATAATAATGAAAACCCGCATGTCATAATCCCCGTGAATAGGTTATTTACACGTACCCCTGAGGAACGTGCGAGTAATTCAATTTTCTTCAAAAGGTTCTTCAGCTCCTCGTGTGCTTGCAGAGCCCAGGCACCGGTCAGAGCGTAGACACACCCGCAACGTGGAAAGGTGGACGTCTCTATTTTTCGTGAGCTTCATTTAAACGACGCTAAAACTACAATTGCGGCAGACTTTATGTGTCGCACGACTCGTATCGTTCCCTGCGGGCATCTACATCCCTGTGCAAACGAATCGCAGTGCCTTCGGCTGCATGCACATTTGTCCTTGACAATGTACCCGCACCAGCTTGCGACATCTCTAAAGTCACTGATTCATTGGCATGGTCCCTGAATGCGTGATAAGTTAATATCGCAATGAGCGACGCAGCCTATGTGGGGCAACTTTCTTGGAAGGTGTGCGTTATGGAATCGATAACAACGAAGAAATGAAGCAGAAAACGCTGGGCCAGCACCTGTGGTCGGTTTGCCTTGCTGCATACCCGACCCGGAGGAATAACACGGAGCCAACGGTTTCAACAACAAGAAACTACATTTAATTGGACATGGACAAGACGATTAACATTGCTACCGGCGCTGCCGGAGTCCAAGCAGCGACTCTCCGTGCGCCGCCTCTGATCTGCCTTATCAAGGCGGCGTATCCGATGTGCGCGTGGCTGGCGTGACGTCGCCGCCACGCGGGAAAAGTTCGGCTTGAGCCTCGCAGTCGGGCAACTTGGCTTGGGAGCCGCCAGGGTGCCCACACACCTCAGACACGTTTCACCGCACAGACTGTTTTCAAATAGCGTACACGTATCACGTAGGCACTAAGTCATCGAACTGTTTCGATCTTAGTCGTTGTTACAACCACGCGATAGAAAACAAGCTGACTGGCTGAGTTCGAGATTATCCGTCAAATTAATGATCGCCATTAGCCACGGAAATCTCTGTTACGACTCAACGTCAATATTGATAGAGGTCAATGTAAACCCGTAAACCCTGACAAGCGAAATGTCAAGTCGGCCATTTTCTTTGCTTGCTAGGAGACTGCTGGCTTCACATCACAACACGCGTGTACTGCGCGTGTTGCGGGAGTGACCACCTTCTGCCAGTATCAATCTTCAGCTGGCACGAGGCAGCGACAGCAGAGATGGGATGAGTGTACTCAAAAATATATTTTTTTTTTTTTTTTACTTTCTCATCACACCCCGCGATATGAAAACCCGTATGGAGCATCGGTTATTTGCACAGAGAAGGATCGCACAGAACGCAGGTTTGTGCATCGCGAATTGCTAGACTCACCCTCCGCCGTCCCCCAGCTCCTCTTTCTGTCACCAGTGGCTTCAGTTTCAACTGCATTGTTTCTCCCCAATAAAGAGAAAAAAAAAAAAACAAAAAAAACACCGTATCGCTGGACGAAGTTTTAAACTAATGCATGTTCTCCTGTTATGTGAACTTCCCACGCAATCAACATTTAGATTTTTTTATAAATGAACTTTTATGTACTTCAAAAAATATAATCTATAATTTTTCCCATCATAAGGTCTGCAAGAGAAGCTCCGTCTCCAGCACGTGTTCGTTGCCTTCCGTCGTGCTTTGACTTCGCGTGTGACGAAGTGTTATTGGAAGTTCACGCCGGAAGCAGAGCTTCCACTGCAGGTCTTACGTCGCAACAGATAATATGAAGTATTTACTGGCGGCCTGTTACTCTTTTCGCTCTACCTAGAACCTTTCTGCTTGAAAGTTGCAGCTTGCAGAGGCATCCGAGGCCTCACCCTGAACGCGGTCGAAGTCAAGGTGTCAGCGTATGCTGATGATGTTGCGATTTTTCGCTGCGACAAAGAAAGCATAATGGAAACCGCGCGGATAACAAGAGAGCTCTGTGATGTCACTGGGGCCGCAGTTGATTGGGGAAAGTGTTGCGGGCTCTGGCACGGGAATTGGGTCTCAAAACCTCATTCTTTTGCAGGCAAAAGTTGGACGGACACCCCGACCACCTATCTCGGGGTGCCGTTACAACACTACAAAACTAGCACGCCATATTGGGCCGAAGTTCTATGCGGAGGGCAAGTTCGTCTGCTTCTTGCGCAGGGGGTAGCGGTGACGTCAGAACGCCATTCTCTGATTGGCTGATCGCGACCCCCTATCTCAGCGTCGTCTGCTCCTTTGCAATGTCGTCTGCTCGCAACGTCGTCTGCGTCTGTCTTGCTTTTCCTGCGACTTTCGGAAGTGCAGGTCTTTTCGAGCGAGCTCGACTTCGCCTGTCAGAGAGGGCAGACGAAATAACTCGAGCGGTACGTTGTTTTTATCTACCTTTCCTGCGTCTGTCGGAGATTCACCGCTTTTTCACCGGCGAGAACGCGGCCTTCGAAAATGATTTGTGTTTGTACTCTATCCCTCTTGTTCCCGTTCTCCAGGGATTATTTTCGTCATTCTTGTCCAGCTCGCTTGCACCCTTGCATTTATTTGTATTATACCAATAATTACTTCTTAGTGTCAACGAGTCTACGGCATAACTTCGGCGATACGTTCGACGCCGCTCGGGTAGCTCAATCGATCTTGCTCGGATTCTCTTCCACGGATTAGCACAGGTTTTCAAACTTTTGCCACTTAGGTTTACGCCACACATACATACCTACCATAATACGCTAACTGATAACAGCCTTTTAGTCGAGCGAGAAAGTTGTGACAACAAGCAGCGATCGAGCATTTTTGGGCTATGATGTGCTCACAGTACCGATCGCACAGCCGCATTTGTTTATTTACAGTCACTACATCGGCTGTTACCTGTCTTTAGCTGATTATCTTGGAACAACTCATTAAACGCGAGGTACCATTCACGAAACTCGTGCAACTAAACGTTTTAACATAGCGACGAACATGGTGTTTACATCTTACCTGAGCGAGCGACCTGCCGCGGCATGCTGCTCTTGGGGCGTTGCAGCCACTGCTGTGGAAGGTCCGTCTTGGACAGTCCATTTAGAGCCGCGTAAAGTGCAGTAGCCATCATGTGGCTGCACTTTGCGGCCCCGCGAGGGCACTCACAGAGACTCTAAAATGTCACCTTTCTCGGAGAGCGTCATCTTTACCGCGCAGGCATTCGCAGCTAGAGTGAAATCCTTCACCTCAAAAGAAAGGATGTATCCTTCAAGGTATGTCCTTTCGCCTTTTTCGAAGGCCGCGTTCTCGTCGGTGAAAAAGCGGTGAATCTCTGAGAGACGCAGGAAAGGTAAAGCAGCCATCGCTTTGACTAGCAGACGTAAAGCAGACGACGTTAAATGACCCAACCGCGCCAACCCGCCGACGCCGTTAAAGAGTGAAGTGTCTCGCCGCACACAAAAGGAGGGAAAAAGTATTTGGGAGGGAACCGAGGGAACTTGCGGACAGTAACCACCACTGATCTCTATGACAATTGCTGGATCGCGTTTGCCCGCTCCGCGAATGCGGTCACTGGCGGCCATCTTTAGGTAGAGTTATATCACCTCTAGCCAATGTAAGCTGCTGCAGCCGCTATCATCCATCCATGGCAGATAGCGTTTTGGCAGGTGGGTTGGCAGGCCGCGGTCAAAATAGCGTGGGTGATATTGCGTGCTTGATTAAAATTATTTGACGAAACATGTTTTTGAAACCCGGCGTGAACAGTAGTCTGCTTTTTGAGGACCAGGTAAAAGTTTCATGAAATCGCAGCACCGGGAGAAAAGCAGCACAGCACGTATCGAAAGTCGCATCGAAAGAAGCATCGAAAGCAGACGACGGTACGGAGTCTGCTTTTGATGCGAGCTGCGCTGCTTTCCCCCGGTGCTACGCTTTCGTAGAACTTTTGCCGGGTCCTCAAAGATGAGGCTACCGTTCACGCCGGGTTTCAAGAATCTGCTTCGTCGAACAACTTCAATCAAGCACAAAATGTCACCCACGGTACAGTGTACTAGATCTACGGCTATTTTTATGATTTTTATGGCAGCCTGCCGCCATTGCGCTGTCCGCCATATTACTATGATGGCTAGAGATGATATAACTCTACCTAAAGATGGCCGCCAGTGACCGCATTCCGGTCCATAGGAGGAGCTGGTCAAACGCGATCCAGCAAATAGACATAGAGATCAGTGATAACCACCCTCACTCTCGGTTCTTAGCAAATAAACCTCGGCGCCTCGGGACACCTCGCCAGTGAGTCATTTGACTTCCCTCCTTGATGCGCGCCGGCTAGTTGTTAGACAAAGACAACGTACCGCTCGAGTTACTTCGTCTGCCCTCTCTGAAAGGCGAAGTCGAGCTCGCTCGACTTCCGAAAGTCGCAGGAAAGGTAAGACAGACGCAGACGACGTTGCGAGCAGACGACGTTGCAAAGGAGCAGACGACGCTCAGATAGGGGGTCGCGATCAGCCAATCAGGGCTCGGCGTTCTGACGTCACCGCTATCCCCTGCGCAAAAAGCAGACCAACCTGCCCTCCGCATAGGGATTTAAAATCAAAGGCAACCTCGTGGGCAAACCGTGATATATCGATATTTACCTGTGCCACAGTGTGCAACATTTTTCTCGTCGCAAAACTTTGGTACGTGGTGCAGGTGCTGGCATGCAAGCGTACGAGCATACAAAAGTTCCACCGAATATTCGCCACTTTTATCTGGAATTCCAGCTGGGAGAGGACGCGGCGGGATAACCTTTTCCGCCGCGTCAAACCCGGTGGACTGGGACTCACACACTTGTTTGTGAGCTCACGTTTCGCTCTTCTTCGAGACCAGACCCAACCTTTCTTGCGAACTGTTATCCAGATAAAACTGGCGAACGCACTTCCCTCTATGTTAGTAACAAGCGACTGTGGTGAACCTTTGAGTCTTTTTGGTTTTCTGAAAGAAGTGAAAGATGCTGCCTCCTTTTTACAAGCACGATTTTCTATGGAGTACCTACAAAGCGTAAAAAAAAAAAAAAGGATTGTCGCGAGATTTGATTGAAATGCTTTTTCCCGCGCCCCTGTATCGCACTGTTTACAGCCATTGTCCAAAGCAAAACGTATTGTGTCGCGTAAAAAAAAAAAAAAATGTGTGTCCCTCCCGCAGTCAAGTCCTTTTTCTTCAAACTACATAGTTGCACTTTACCTGTCAAGCCGTGGTTGAGGGAAATAGGGTTTTTTGTTCCCTGGTCGGTTGACTGTCTTTTATGCAAGGCACCAGAAACAACCGAACACATTTTTATACATTGCTGGGACGCAGTGTTTTTGTGGGACATTCTACAGAGGACGTTGAAAAAGGACCTGACTGTAACCCATGAAACTATCCGTTTTCTGCCAGTCGAAGAAGGAGACGCGGTTCCTTATGATTTATTTATGATACGTCGCCTTTTTAGTTTGTGGAAAACTCAGATGGAACTGCATCATGCAAACCTGCACATTAAACCTGCGCGGCTTCATTTTATTGATTTGGTAACGCAGGTACAGTCTGTATACTGCAGGTCCCCCGACACTACGCCCGAATGAGCGCACTTGTTTGAGTCGCTGAAAAATATGAAGGAATTTTAGTTTGCCCACAAGTTGTTGGGCGGTTTGTGTGTGTATTGACTTAGCATTCGTATGCTGCATTCTGTGTACAATAAAGAAAGAAAAAAGTATTTACTGCCGGCCATAGCTGTGTGCTCTGCTGTATACGCATGCTGAAAGCGAGCGTTCGCCCCGAATTCCTTTCGCGCCATCAAAACTGTCGCGTAGGGCAAACGATTAGTTGATTTTCCCGCGGCTTGTGCTGGATGTGGACATGTTGGATTGCACGTTGTAAAATCACTGAGGAAGTTCGCCGTCAGCTCGCGCTCAAAAGTCACGGAGTCATCTGTGGCGGACCTTGAGTGCCACCACTAAGTATGACAGCGCAGTTTTGTATAGTTGCGCCGATGTTGATTTCTTAGAATCGGCGGGCTGCTTCTCTAGAACCAGACCTGTGCCCGTTACTTGAAAAATGTAATGGATTACCGTTACAAATACTTTTCTCTGAAAAGTAACGGATTATTTTACTCGTTACGTTACAAATTACTTTCACGTTACTTTTTCCGTACACTCATCAAGAGAACATAAAAAGCAATCTTGATATTTTCAACAAAAAACAATTTCTGCAATACTACTTTCCATTTCTCATACTCAGGAAAAGAAAAACAGGATGAAAGGCGATGGAAAGAGGCAGAGCCTCTCGGCTTTGTCGTCTTGATCTTTGTTCTTCGCATATTTGCATAAGCCTTGCGCGTTTTTCGAGTGGTTCTAGTGACCGGTCATACAAAAAATCGTGTTTTATTTTCGGTTGTACTCCTCTTCAGGATGTTTATTTTCTCTCTCTCTCTCTCTCTCTCTCTTTTAACTTGCTAGGTCCTATGCTGCTGAATTGCCAGCTCCACTTTCTCTATTATGTTCATATTAAAAAAAAAGTAACGAGTAATTGAAGTAATCTGTTACCAATAATAGTAACGAAATTACATTACAAATTACAGGCCCAGAAAAGTAACGTGACAAGTACAAAATTACTTGAAAAAGTAACGGATTACAAGTTGTCCGTTACTTGTAGCGGATTACTTCCCAAGTCTGCCTAGAACTATACACTTTCAATTTGGGGCTGCTAAATATACCGGCTATAACCGGCTCCTTTAAGGTCTGTGAGCGTACGCAACGTCCCAGCTACAAAAACCCATCTGTTTCTTCTTTTTTTTTTATCTTTATTTTTTATTGCCATGAATGGATGCAGAGCCGGCTATAACCGGGCCCGTAGGTGGGCTGTAATTTTTTATTGTTTTTGAAGGACTGGATAATAAAGGCCGGCTAGTTACCGGTATGAACTTGACACTTCTCTCTTTTTCCGACGTACTTTATTATGAAATCGCACTCCAAAGGCTTCGTAGCAACTTTATTTAGTTTTTCTGTCTGCACGCATAAGAAAGGCAAGGAACGCCCCCCCCCCCCCCCCCCCCCCCCCCTTATCCCGTCCTTTAATTCGTCAGAAGTGACTCTCACACACTCCCCTGCCCACCAGGTGAGTGCAACCAACACCTCGATGCGGGCGCTGAACGTGACCGTCCTCCTGCTGGCTCTGGCAGTGCTGTACCTCTCGCTCCAAGTGCGGAGCCTATGGTCTCGAGTGAACGGCATGGGGGACAACGCCTGCGAGGGACGCTTCTGCGTCTGGTTTCTCTGCCGCTGAAACCAGGCAGTTTTCCCGGCGGTCTGGCATCGGCCCGGCCTCGCAGTCACTCCTCGGGGAATCCCCTTGGCCACGGAGAAAGCTTCTTTGATCGAGGACACTGCTGTCGTCCGCGCCGGTGTGCGATGTGGCAAAAGCACCGGAATGCTTAGCGTGATGCGTGCAAGTAGGACACGAGAGTGCGAAACAACGCTTGTTTTTTTGCAGTTTCTATTGGTCCCTTCCTCCTCGCCTTCTTCTTTTTTTTTTCTTTTCGAAACGTGTATTACATTATGCCGAAAGAAAGAAAACTGAAATGCGGTACGTGCCAAAACAAGGTGTCCTTCGTCAGAGTTCGGAAACGTTACAGCATCTATTATTTTAGAAAGATGGCCTTTCTGGTGAGGATGCAAGTTCCAGGTATAGTACGCAGGAAAACACTTCTGCGGAGAGCCAGACAGAGCGACCGGAGCAAAGCGAATAACAGGATTCAGGGAGCATCTTGAATCGGAAACGCCACCTGCACTCTCAAAAACGTCTGTAGGTTCACTTTGCAGCAGAACACGGAGACAGCCAATCAGGACGAAAGAAAGAAGGATCGCATGGCGAAGCTCAGAACACAACACAGCCGGCCTTAGAGCAGCAAGCGCCCTGGGCCAACTGCAGCCGTGGCGCCCCCCCCCCCCCCCCACACACACACACACACACTATTTTCGCACCCAACATCACGTTGTCAGCAAACATGCCACAGTGACCCAGCGCGAATGGTCGCGATTTCGTCGTTGTCAGTCGAAAGCCACATCCTAAAAACGAACGACGTTCGCAAGCATTGAGAGTTTTGTCGCCACCGTGTTCAAAGGTTCAAGAATTATTTATTTCTTAGAATAACCAAACTCCAGCTGTGGGTCTCCCATAGCAAGCTAACATCTGATGGACAAAGAAAACAAAAGCACAAGTTAACCATGTCAAATACCCTAGAAGGCAAACTTCCAAGCCTTCAACATCGCGAATTGGGCTTCGTCTTGCGTCATATCCAGGCTCGGCGCTATCCTGTTTTCAATGGACAAAATTGCCAATGACGATATGCTGACATCTGCCAGGGTTGATCTTAGGTATGCCTTAATTATCTTTAATTTTGAGAAACTCCTCTCAACGGTGGCCACTGACACTGGCGAAGTGAGGAGGATCATCAATGACACCCAAGTATACGAGAATTTGTCACATAGATGGTTGTCCAGAATGAACTGGAGGACGTCCTGGCGAGCACTGCATCCAGTGGGCAGCAGGCTGCATAGTTAGATCAGCTCCTCGCAGAGATCTGTACCGTGGATGCCTGCACTTTCTAGGTGTCTCAGACTCTCAGTGGATGGTCAAGGCCTTTTGCAAAATTTAAGAAGTTCTGCTTTATCGGGAAGTCGGGTGAGGCCATAAAGGAACCCCAGAAGCTCACGTGCTGCTCCATCTGCGTGAAGCGTTCTTCAATCGAAATCTTACGGTGTCAATCATCTCGTAGAAGAACTCTCGCTTGAATTTTGTCTCGACATCATTAACTTCGTCTTGGCACTCATAACAGAATTGGCGCTTTTTCCGCCACAGTTGAGTGGCCGGTTTCATCACATTGTCAACACCCATCCTCTCGAGAAGACCGTTCGCAGTTTCCAGTTGCAGTTTCGTACCCGACATGGCGATAATTGTCGATGTAATCGCTGTATGCTTTCATCAGCTGGGGTGTTGCTACGACGTCCTTTGTTTTGCATTGCATGTTCTTGCTTACAACATTAACTTGGAAAAAAAAATGTCGTACCACACAACAATGTAAACGAGAAACTTAAGGTCCGTGAGCTGCCCTGCAAGAGTTCGTTCTTCGTGTCGGACGCGACGGTCTGCCTGCTGTGATTCGGCCATTCTTGCGCAACATTATAAATTTAGTTGTTTTTACCGGTTTTCGGGATTCTTGCAGCGGGTTTTTGAATTTTGAGTTGGCAACACTGGTCGACATTGCGAGTCTGGAGTCGTCGCTGGTCGCTCACATACACAAAAAAGAAAGAGCTGCGGATCCAAAAGTTCTTTACACATGTTATTTTCAGTCGGGTTGAAGCCTCGGGGCACAGAGACTCACCGGATGCATTGGTTCGTTTAGCTTACTGCTAGAGACTCAAGAGCGAGCGTTGCCCAAACGGTAGCTCGAATGCCTGGAAGAATCGGGTTCATTTTACCCCCGGTCAGACCTCCTGGGCGAAGACATTCTTCGGCTCAGAATAACTTGGCAAAGGGCGAAGCCTACATTTCCTGCGAGCCAATCAGGGACTCTGAGCGAAGCACGTAATAACTAAGAGCAAAAATCCGTTCCAATAGTATTTTGTCCATGATATTTTGTCCATGATAGATTTTGTCCATGATAACACATGATAAGAATACAGGATGCAAACATGAAGTTTTATAAGTGTGATCCTTCTCCTTCGGGGGAAAATGTAAATATGTAAATAGGTAAATAGGTAGGGTATGTATAGCTCTTATAAAAATCTCTTGCTGTAAAATATAATCATTAAGAAAATCAAAAACAACGAAAAATTACAATGCTCTCTGCTCCCTCCTCCCCCCCCCCCCCCCTCAAAAAATAATTAAGGCGACAGACAAATAAGAAATAAAATGAAAACATATATGAGAACGCCAGGATACGTAGAAATACATAACTAATTTTAAAATAAAATCATTAAAAGAGAATAAAATTTTAACGTTGTTTCCAATCCATTTTCTTATATATTCCAGTACGAAAATTTTAAAGAAGACAACTTCCTCGTCGTCAAGAACACAGAAGACAAGAGGCAGGACCAAGCGGAACAACAATTAATAACTTAATACCAAAGGAAAAAAACGAAACACAAATACTCATAATTGCTCGCAAGATTCTCCAAGTTCGTTCCAATGCCAATGTTCAGCTGTCTCCCTGTTTTTCTTTTTAATTGGCTTTAAGGATTAAAGAAACGTTCGGTCAATTACGGCCCTCATTTTTTATATTATATTGGATCAAACCTGTTATACCGTCAGGTGGTGCAGGTCGAGAGGAACAGTTTATTTCCTTTTTTTTATCTCTCACTTAGAAATTGAGTAATTGAGTATTTTGTCCCGTGACTCGCTCCGACACACTGATTTGCTCGCCGATGAGTTTGGCGCCACCGTTTGATAACTTGCGCTAAGAGTGCGGCATGCTGGCTCCATCACTTTTTGCGAGTAGGTTTTGCTCCGCTCTTAAGTTGAGAGCTGTGTGGAGGTGATCGCTTGCCTAGTTGTTCATGATTCACTCCATGGCGCTTTGAATCTCACAGAGGAGAGGTTCCCTATAGTGAAACATCCGCAGGTGGCTGCGAGTTGTTGGACGTAAGTTATAACAAGAACGTAGTCGTTGGTTT